ACTCTACGGTTGAAAACAATTCACACAATTTAGCCAATTGTGTGTGTCCATTTCCCCCCAACCAACAGAAATGGCCACTTTTCAAATGGGAATTGCAACATTGGAAAAAGAAAGATTTAGTAATTTGGGTCTTTGGCCTCTCTGCTGAACTTGCAATGAAGTGCCCAATGGCTGTTCTGGTTTCTGTGCCATGAACACTCCCTACCCCCCAAAGGACTGGCTTTAAACTTATCAGCTCGGTCCATATACTTGACCATCCGGGGAAAGGCTAGAAGTGCTGGATAAAACTACAGCACCCTCTGAGGAGACGCACGGCTACTATCGAGCCTCTTCCCCAACTCTCAACGCACGGACAGTGACTGTCCCCTTTGCTATTTAGGTTCCCAGTTTTGGATCCTGGGAAAGAGAACAACTGTGCCTCTGTGAAGAAAAACAAGATCCTTTCTGAAATCTGCCAAGCTGAGTTGAAATGGATTTGCCAGAAAGCAGCTGTCCTAGTTTAAGGAGGAGTCTGGTGGCACCTTAAAGACTAACTGATTTATTTGTTAGTCTTTAAGGTGCCACCAGACTCCTTGTTGTTTTTGTGGATACAGACTAACACGGCTACCGCCTGATACTAGTTTAAGGAGACGGATTTGTGAGCTCTGTTTGCACAGGAGGAATGTAAAAAGTTTGGTGTGTTTCATCGTTATTTCAGCTATTAAAAACGACGGGTGAGATGCTCAGCCGGTGTAAATAGTATAAAAGTCAATGGAACGACACCAATGAATGACTGATTGGCGGGTGGGGGGAGGGGGGCACCGGAGGGAGGGCTGAGGGGAATCAAAACGATCAAATCCACGTAAAAGTAGAAAACAAAATTTAGAAGTGAAAATGGCCTATAGAAGTGGTCATGAAAAATCTCAACTCAACAGAAATGGTTCCTTTAAAAAACGAAATGACTTTGAAATTCTCTTGCATATTTTGACCAGCTCCAGGCCTGCTACATCGTGGGATAACTCCACCAGGCCAGGTTAATTGTGGGAAGAAAGGATCAAACTCCCATCATTCCCCCTGCTGTATCCCAGAAATCACCAGGCGAGTGGAAGATTCCCAAAGGGATTATATTACAGTAGTAACTAGGCCAAGGGGTCTCAACCTTTTTCTTTCTGAGGCCTTCCCAACATGCTATAAACACTCCAGGACCCAGTGGGGGCAGGGCCGTCCCTACCCATACGCAATGTACGCACCTGCGTTGGGCACCAGGAAATTTGGGTTACGAAATTTCCTGGTGCCCTAAGCAGCTGCGTGCTGCTCCAGCCCCTGCTCCGCATCTTCCCCATGGCCCTCGCCCCTGCTCCGCCCCAGCCTCATCTCTTCCCACCCCTGTTCCGCCCAGCCCTGCCCCCACTCCACGCCTTCCCCAAAGCCCCCGCCCCAGCTGTGTCCCGGCACCACCCCCACTCCAGCCTTTCCCCTGAGGACTGCAGCAGGGGTTGGGGGCCCTGCAATCACCAGGCGGTGGTAAGTGGAAGACCGACCCGGCCCCAGCCCCCTCCACACTGCCAGCTCCCAGCTGCGCCTCCAGTGAGTGCTGGGGGGCGGTTCCCTCCTGCCCCTCAAGCCTGGGAGTCAGGGGAGCAGAGCGGAGCCGGCTGGGGCCGGGTCACTCCCCTTCCCACCGCCCCATGAGTGCGGGGTCTGGCCTGCCCTGCAATCACCGGGTGGCAGGAAGTGGAGCGACCCAGCCCCAACCCGTTCCGCTCCGCCAGCTGGTGCGTAGGGCACCAAAATGGCTAGGGACAGCCCTGAGTGGGGGGATTAGTGGAGGGGCTCCAGGCTTCAGCCACTGGGGGTGGGGGGGACGGGACAGGGCTCAGGCTTCTGTCCCGCAGGGCGCCCAGGCTCCAAAGGGGCCCCAGCCCCACC